CTGACTTAAGTGCATTTTTCACTATGTGCTCTGGAGGGCTGTATTAGAGGTATTAGAGTGGATTTTCACTCTTGTCCTGCAACCCGACACACCAGCCGTCTTCTGTTGCTGTACAACTCTAACCCAACAATAACTCTTAATCTGACATGCCTGAAAGCTCAGAAAGTGAGATTTTAGGATCGTTGTTGTTAACTTTTCATCGTAACACTATCTTGTCTGGCTCCGGGTCCATTTATTTCATGACTGCATCATGCAAAATCAAAGGTGGTATCGGCTACCAGCATCCAGCGAATAGCAGAGAGGAGAGTTTTGAAGAATTAAAAAGTCAATGACACAGCTAGCATAGTGTTAAAAAAACAGCATTAACTTACACTAGATCACCATATAAAAACTGGCCTATTAATATGATTCCTGCCCGCCCCCATTGACTTTTCCATCCCATCCCAGTCCCGTGACTAATACTGAAATTGACTCCCATCCCACGGGATTCAGGAAAAATTGTCAGCCTCTAGGCTGTATTAAGTCACGTGTCTCTACATGGCCAAATGCAATATTACAGTTTTGAGAAAGCCGAACATGTAACAAAACAAAACTAACATGTATTATATATTTAGAAACAAAATTTACAATTCAAAAATGATTTGAATAATGAATATAATGATATGACATATTTCTATATTGTATTGTGTTATATAAGTATAAACATGTATATTAAGTGGTATATATTATAATAAACAAGTATTTTACCATTATGCAGTATCCAAGTGACATCTGCTTTGTCAAAACACCTAGCAGGCGAATCAATTAGGTTAAACGATTTGTTGATTAAAAAATAATTCTCACTAAAAATGAGAAAAAAATAATAGGTTCAAAGGAAGTAACATGTCCTCGCAATCTTAAGCTGCAGTAAATGTACTTGCGATCCTGCAACTGTGTGACAGACAATGACAACCAGAATATTCCACGCTCACCTTGATGTGCTTCAGCTGACCGACACTGAAAGCATCGCATGTTTTCGGCCACTTCATACATACAGTATATACACTAGCTCAGGGGACCCCAGCAGAATTACCTCACCAGGACACTCATGTAATTCATAATTGGACTGCGGATGACAAGACAAACAGGGACTTAAGTACAAAAGCTAACAAAAGGTTAATGAGAGGCAGCTGGGAGTGATTTCCATGTTAGGATTAGGAACAAGAGGCAAGACAAGAGAGGTAAGCGAGTAACAGGCGTGGCTTGTTAGGGCCATGACAGGGAGGAGACGGGCAGGGATGTGACACATGGCAGTAGCCTACTAAGCTTATATTTAGTCATGTTCTCATGAACATGATGAAAAACAAGATGTTATAGTAAAATACTGTATCTGAAAATTGCGCAGATCGGCAATTGACAATGCCTGAACTTATTACGCATATTAAAATTATGTGATTTAAAGCTCTGGTTTAACGATCAACCATTTTCCCCACATAGACACTACTGCTGCAGTTTTAAGGTCAAATAACACAAAACTAGACTAAATGTTTTTAAATCATTCAATTTGGATCATTCAGTCAAAATGAACATTTTAGACAAAAATTTGAGAAAATGATGATAATCAGTTTGTGAGAATGACCCATATTTTAAAAATGAATGCATATACTTCAGCTTTTTCCCCTCTTCATTTAGAACAATTCTGTAATAAACAAGCAAATATGCCTAAACAATAGATATGTTGCAAATATTCGTATTATTAGTAACATGGACTGAAAGTTTAGAATACATTGCTGATAAAACAATAATGCAATGAACTGCATAGTTAAAACAAGCTTAAACTTAAGTTTATATGCTTAATCTGTGATGTATTATACTAAACAAATTCCTAGTCACTGTTCCTTAAATCCCACCCCTCTACCCCATTAAGCATAGATTCACGCTTCTTGCCCTGCCGCGCCTTCTCTTTCAGGTTAAGTGCGGTGGGCATGTCCGCGCTGAGGAGGGGAGAATACGCTTAACTCGAAAGTGCGTAACTTTTTAGGTGCTTTTTTGACTTAAGTGCTTGATGGCAGAATCAACCCCCTTATGTCTATTCCATATTTAAAACAATTTAAATGTCATATTAAGAACATATTACCTTTGATGACTGTTATCATAAATGAATCGCCAACTGCTCTGGTTTCCCCACCAGATTGTACAGCACACCAGTATATGCCAGAATCATGTCTCTGCAGGCTCCTCATGGTCACTGTGAAGACACCCTGATCAGGGTCATCAGTGACTGACATACGGCCTCTTTGAGAAAA